TAGCAATGTGGATGTTGGAGATCTCTGAGGAAAACAGGAACAGAAGCAGAAATTGCTAATCTTTGTTTATTCATCTCATACGTGGAACAGAAATGAACCCAGCAAATATGATCAGCATCTGCTGTTGCTACTTTCAGTCTGCAGACAACACTCAACTGATCACATTCCCCATTCCCATTTGAATTGCATTTCCTTTGTATTGAAATGAATGGGTTAGAATAACGTAACAGGAATGTAATTTATGTGATAAATAAGGTAAGTTATGCAGTTTTTCTACAGTGGACAGCAAGCTGAATAATGTAGTTTGGGACAGAAGATGAACTGCAGCAGAAGTGAAATAGTGTTGTACCATTACAGCGTAGAAAATGAAAATGATGCATTCTTTCATCTCTACCCAGAATCATTTGCAGCTTCATACTTGCATAGTTGCTCCTTATTATTATTATTATTATTATTATTAATTATTATTATTACCATAAAGAAGGCTGATTGCCGAAGAATTGATGCTTTGAATTATGGTGCTGGAGGAGACTCTTGGGAGTCCCATGGACTGCAAGAAGATCAAACCTATCCATTCTGAAGGAAATCAACCCTGAGTGCTCACTGGAAGGACAGATCCTGAAGCTGAGGCTCCAATACTTTGGCCACCTCGTGAGAAGAGAAGAGAAGACTCCCTGGAAAAGACCCTGATGTTGGGAAAGATGGAGGGCACAAGGAGAAGGGGACGACAGAGGACGAGATGGTTGGACAGTGTTCTTCAAGCTACCAGCATGAGTTTGACCAAACTGCGGGAGGCAGTGGAAGACAGGAGTATTACGGCCAGAGACCAGCTTGTGAAACACAAATGGAACTACAATCCCAAAAGCAAAACAAACATTTAAAACAATATACAACAATGGATTTTAAGTTTTAAAATGTGGTAGGCATATAAACATGTAAAAACTTTAAGATAGACTACCATAGAGAAATGACCCAGAGTCGCCCGTGGAACCGATTTTGGGAATTTTCTTAACAAACTAGTTTGAATTGGGGTCTGCACCTAAATATCTGTGCACAGAATCTGGTGACCGTCCGGGTCGTCTTGTGATCTTTGCCTAACAGGAGAAGATCAAACTTTTCTTTACCGGGAGGTCAGCAAGCCTCACCAGCAGGGGGTCAATGGTTTCTCTATGTGCCTCATTGTAAAGGGACATCTAAAAAAGATGTGTGTGGAGCTTCCTATATCCCCCGACAGGCAGGTGCAAAGTCTCTGGGCATATGGGACTTTTTTAAAGGATCCTTCCAAGACCAGCAAGGGCAGAGATGAGCTTCTGGCTTTTTCTACTATGCTTATGGAAGATAAATATGCAGAACCACCTACACGGAGACAGGCCAACTGTCCCCAGCAGACTACCCAAACTCTCAAGCAGAGGACTTCCAACCCTCAGCTGCCTGAGCCCCTTTTAACTGCTGGTGTCAGGGTGGTACATAGTATCATACTGTATGCTTGTGAAACATGGACCACTTACAAACGCCATCTCCAACTCCTCAAAACATTCCATCAACGATGTCTCCGAAAAATTTTACACATCACTTGGGAAGACAGGCGAGCTAATACCAGTGTACTGGAAGAAGAAGCAAAGATCACCAGTGTCGAAGCAATCATTCTTCAACATCAACTTTGTTGGACTGGTCATGTTGTGCAGATGCCTGATGATCATCTTTCAAAGAAACTACCCTATTCTGAACTTAAAAATGGAAAGCGTAATGCTGGTGGTCAACAAAAGAGGTTTAAATACTCTCTCAAGGTAGTATTAACACCAACAACTGGGAAACACTGGCCTGTGAGCGCTCCAAATGGAGAACAGCCTTTACGAAAGGTGTCATGGGCTTTGAAGATGCTCGAACTCAGGACGCAAGGGAGAAATGTGCTAAGAGGAAGGCATGCTTGGCAAATCCACACCGTGATCAACTCCTGCCTAGAAACCTATGTCCCCACTGTGGAAGGTCGTGTGGATCCAGAATTGTCCTCCACAGTCATTTACAGACTCATTGTTAAAACCGTGTTTATGGAAGACAATCTTACTTGGCTACGAGTGATCGCCAAAGAAGAAGAAGGTACATAGGACTTTAAAAATGCAAAGCATGAACTCTTCCTCTGAGCTATGGCCTGCCAGCACAGGCTGACCTCGAGTGATGCACTTTTGCCTCTTCCCATTCTTACAGCCTGTATAAAACAAATGTCACATATCTGGTCCTCTGTAGGTTAGTGATAGCCAGAGGCCATGGAGTTGCAGACAAGGTATAAGGTCAGCTCGGCTATCTCTGCCTAACCATAAATGTCTTATTTATGCTTCTGCTCATTTTTTGAGAGCATTTTATGCTGTCAGGTTTTTACTCCTCTTTTTCTCTTCATATAAGTTCACTTTGTGTTCAGCTAAGTTCTGCTTTAGTGAGTTGAACGTAGAAACAGAGGAGATTTCCCCCCGCCCTCCAGTTCACATTTTAATGTCAACCTAACTCATTTGCGCTTCCAAGATGCAGACTGAAATGTAGAGGTGCATCATTATTCCCAGTTCTCAAAAATCTGCAGTGCGGTTCTCCAGCCCACCCAAAATACATTTTTTTAAAAAGGTATATTGAACTGTGCATAAAAATGCATGCATTGCATGGGAGGGGGGATAAGCATACGAGATTAGTGTACAATAAGTGCACAGACATGCACTAAATTAAGGAAAAATTGGTTTCAGAAATAAATATACTAGCTAAAATTTGGTTAAAAATGTGCATATTAGGGGTAATGCACATGAAAATGACAACACGTTTTTGTGTGTCCTTGTGAGAAGAAGGCGGAGAGAGCAGCTTTTCATCTCCATGGTTTCTTTCTTGCAGCTCAACCAGATGTAAATATGATCAGGACAGGAGAGGAATACCATGGCATTGATATTCACCCTACCCAGCCACCCACAAATACTACAATGGAAGGGAGGTGGGAGATGAATGCAAGCCGTAATTGGCTATAGGATTATAGGGTGACAGTATCCCTATAAATTTTTGAATTATGGTGCTGGAGGAGACTCTTGAGAGTCCCATGGACTGCAAGAAGATCAAACCTATCCATTCTGAAGGAAATCAGCCCTGAGTGCTCACTGGAAGGACAGATCCTGAAGCTGAGGCTCCAATACTTTGGCCACCTCATGAGAAGAGAAGACTCCTGGAAAAGACCCTGATGTTGGGAAAGATGGAGGGCACAAGGAGAAGGGGACGACAGAGGACGAGATGGTTGGATAGTGTCTTTGAAGCTACAAACATGAGTCTGACCAAACTGCGGGAGGCAGTGGAAGACAGAAGTGCCTGGCGTGCTCTGGTCCATGGGGTCACAAAGAGTCGGACACGACTAAACGACTAAACAACAAATCCCTATAGATGTGATATTGGAAGGGAGACTGGGAGCCTAAGTCAATTACTGGTGCAAACACCAAGTGGAGATATAGAGATAGGAAGGAAGGGGCTGGAGGAAGATAATTTAAAGATCCAGTTAGAGATCCTGCAATGAAAAGTGTGCCTTATTTCTTGGGGCTGTAGGGACCCACCAGGTGAACTCTGGTGTAAGATAACCCTCTGGGGTTCTGAGTGTTGGTTTCTGATTTTGCCACTGTGCAGTGATTGGAGTCACAAGACTCTGTCTTGCATACTGTTGGAAGTCTCATGGAAGACAGGAGATGGATGTGATGTTACTGGTTTCCTGTTCCTTTGTTTTTCAGTTGCTCTCTGCTTTCACAGAGAGAGCATGTATATTTCTTTTCTGTCTGCGTAGTTAGAAATAAAACCTAGCAATGTAGTTCAAACTTCTCGTCTCTTCTGCTGCATTGATACTCTGCTGAATGGGGAATGTGCCTGGAGCCTTATTAAAGGCTCAGGTCATTAATCATTGTCGGAGGAGATTCCGAAGGCTCGACTGGAGGAGTAGCTCGGTCATAGCAGAGATTCCGACACTGAGGGCTCTTATATAAAGGGGAAAAAATATGGCAAGTAACGTTAAAAAATTGCAAAGTGATGTGCAAAGTGATGTGAACTTAAAATGTGAAATGAAGAAAAGCCATTGACAGATGTGCCCATCTGTACTGGGGTGACAGAATCAATCAGGAATAGCATGCAACCGTTGGTACAGTTTTCTGTTTTTATGTTACCTCACGCTGAAGAAAGTTCCCAAATGCTTTGAGAAGTGTGTGAGGAAGACTGTCTAGGCATTCTGAGGTACATATGATACCAGTTATGACCTGATTTCTACTACATAATAGTAAGGTAAAGGTAAAGGACCCCTGGATGGTTAAGTCCAGTCAAAGGTGTCTATGGGATGCAGCGCTCATCTCATTTTCAGGCCAAGGGAGCCGGTGTTTGTCCACAGACAGCTTTTCTGGATCATGTGGCCAGCATGACGAAACCACTTCTGGCACAACGGAACACCATGACGGAAGCCAGAGCACATGGAAACGCAGTTTACCTTCTCGCCACAGCAGTACCTATTTATCTACTTGAATCATCTACTTGATCGCAAATACATCTTTGTGTGTGTGTGTGTGTATAAACTTCCTGTTTTCATAATAGACTTCCTTTTTCATAACTGTATGTCTTTGCAGATATAATTTTAGAATGAAGCTCATGTTGAGTGATTGGTATAAATTGGTTCTTAAAGTTATCCCCTGAGGAAGAACACTTCAGCTTGGAACCATTTGGGACTGTTTAATATCAAAGAACAAATGGCAATCCAGCAACATATAAGCAGACAGCAAGGGAGCAGAGCCTAAGGATGTCTGAGGTAATTGATCCAGTAGGAACAGACCTGATCTGCACCCCCCTCCGACTAACGTGCAGATCAGAAGTTAGTTATCCAGAGTGCTACATACTTTTTAAAAAGTGAAAAAATAAAATCATGTTTAAATGTGCACTTGGAGAGAAAACATGGCATTTGCAATTTTATGTTTAGTATGTTCCAAAACTTAATCATAAATGTTGTTGTTGTTTGTTGTTGTTTAGTCATTTAGTCGTGTCCGACTCTTCGTGACCCCATGGACCTGAGCACGCCAGGCACTCCTGTCTTCCACTGCCTCCCACAGTTGGGTCAAACTCAAGTTGGTAGCTTCGAGAACACTGTCCAACCATGTTGGCAAGGTGATGTCTCTGCTTTTTAGGATGCTGTCTAGGTTTGTCATTGCTTTTCTCCCAAGAAGCAGGCATCTTTTAATTTCGTGGCTGCTGTCACCATCTGCAGTGATCATGGAGCCCAAGAAAGTAAAATCTCTCACTGCCTCCATTTCTTCCCCTTCTATTTGCCAGGAGGTGATGGGCCCAGTGGCCGTGATCTTCATTTTTTTGATGTTGAGCTTCAGACCATATTTTCCACACTCCTCTTTCACCCTCAATAAAAGGTTCTTTAATTCCTCCTCACTTTCTGCCATCAAGGTTGTGTCATCTGCATATCTGAGGTTGTTGATATTTCTTCCGGCAATCTTAATTCTGGCTTGGGATTCATCCAGCCCAGCCTTTCGAATGATGAATTCTGCATATAAGTTAAATAAGCAGGGAGACAATATACAGCCTTGTCGTACTCCTTTCCCAATTTTGAACCAATCAGTTGTTCCGTATCCAGTTCTAACTGTAGCTTCTTGTCCCAAGTAGAGATTTCTCAGGAGACAGATGAGGTGATATAATCATAAATATTATATATAAATATATGTTTGTTTGTGTGTGTGTGTGTGTGTGTGCAAGATGGTTGAATGGGGCCTTATATGTTACCTTCCAGCAACTGCTGCAGACAAGCTGATGTCTAACGTATTGCTCTGCTTTCCTTTGGACAACATCAGCAAGGCTGAGAAGAGAGTCTTGTTGGCTGGGCAATCCAGGACCTACATACACACTGCCCAGGCTTACGCCCTGGAGTGGTCACTTCAGTGCTGCTAATGCAGCAAAAACAACATGGGAGACAGCAGTTACAAATTACCTGTCTCTGCAGCCACAGCAGGTGCTGCGATTCTCCAGTGGTTGACTTCACCCCTGGAGGCACACTCCATTGTTTCTCGAGACAGGCAGGTACCAACAAGAACAATATATATGGAGAGGTATTGGGTATTAAACAGCCTCTATTGTTCCATACATTTTTAACTGCTTAGAGTTGGGGGGAGGTTAACAATCAAGAAATATATAAATTTTGTTAAATAAATAAATAAATAAATTCAAAGACATTACTTACTCATACTATTAAACATTATAAAGGTAAAGGTAAAGGGACCCCTGACCATTAGGTCCAGTCGCAGACTACTCTGGGGTTGCGGCGCTCATCTTGCTTTATTGGCCGAGGGAGCTGGCGTACAGCTTCCGGGTCATGTGGCCAGCATGTCTAAGCTGCTTCTTGCGAACCAGAGCAGTACACGGAAACACCGTTTACCTTCCCTCCAGAGCTGTACCTATTTATCTACTTGACTTTGACGTGCTTTCAAACTGCTAGGTTGGCAGGAGCAGGGACCGAGCAACAGGAGCTCACCCCGTTGCGCGGATTCGAACTGCCAACCTTCTGATCAGCAAGCACTAGGCTCTGTGGTTTAACCCACAGCGCCACCCGCGTCCCATTTTAAGCATTATACTTGCATTCAAAACATTATAAACCAACAATTTTTTCCTGGTATCAGCCATAAACGTTTACTGTGTTCACCAAAATTATCCCATCTTATTGCAAAACTAAGATGCTTCCAACAACATGTTGGAAGTATCAGAAACAACAAAGGAGATTTCTTTCACATGTGATGAAACAAAGCAGTATTGCAAAAGAAAGAAATGTCAAATAAACAGAAATCTTAGGGTATGAAATCTTGCTTCACCCAGTGTTTCCCCCCTCTTTATTTACATAGAAGGGTTGGGGAATATAGACAAATGGTTTGTCAAATGTTGGCCACTGCCAAATTACTTTTTACAAATATATGATTAGCTAGAATACCCTCTTTTAAATAATAGGGATCAAATCTGTTTCCTTGCATGCTCAAAGTGCTAGGTTCAGACATCAACATCTCTACTTAAATCACTAAAGAGTAAACCGAACTATATTAAAGAGTAAACTGAACTATATTAGGTTGTTGTTGTTGTTGTTGTTGTTTAGTCGTTTAGTCGTGTCCGACTCTTCGTGACCCCATGGACCAGAGCACGCCAGGCACTCCTGTCTTCCACTGCCTCCCGCAGTTTGGTCAAACTCATGCTGGTAGCTTCGAGAACACTATCCAACCATCTTGTCCTCTGTTGTCCCCTTCTCCTTGTGCCCTCCATCTTTCCCAACATCAGGGTCTTTTTCAGGGAGTCTTCTTTTCTCATGAGGTGGCCAAAGTATTGGAGCCCCAGCTTCAGAATCTGTCCTTCCAGTGAGCACTCATGGCTGATTTCCTTCAGAATGGATAGGTTTGATCTTCTTGCAGTACATGGGACTCTCAAGAGTCTCCTCCAGCACCATAATTCAAAAGCATCAATTCTCCAGCGATCAGCCTTCTTTATGGTCCAGCTCTCACTTCCATACATCACTACTGGGAAAACTATAGCTTTAACTATACGGACCTTTAGATATATTAGATAGACTTACCCAAAATGAAGTAGTTTCATAACTATCACTTAGGACACAGAGAACTAGTGCTTCTATAATCATTTGTGCATTCTGATTGAAATTGGGTGTATTCTTCACTCAGCCCAAGATATTCAAACCGATTGCAATGGTATAATTCCCCCCCCCCACAAGAACCCCAAGTGCAGAGTCTTCATTCATACATCTGAGATCAATGATAGTAGCTCCCTTCTTTTTATGAGTCTTGAGATTGCTCATAAGCGCCAATAAAAATCACAGGAAAATGTTATGTTAAGCTTTAAAATTATCCTGCAAATCGCTCAGCAAAGTATGTAAAATGTTTATGGCTCTCGGTCAATGTGGTATCATTTGGTATGCTGCCAAAAATAAATAAATCTTATGGAATATTTGTGGACCAGAGCAACTTGAGGATGATGTGGTGTTGTGCAGCATCGCTCCCAAGGCACATCAGGAAGTGCAACTTTCAGAAAGCTGCACCGAGAGATCTGCATCACAAAGAGCGACACAGGTCTTAACAAAAAGAAAAGGGTTTAAAAAGCAATGAAGAGTGGGATATCTTTGTCTGGCTCACATTATTAAGCAGGTCTAAGTAGTGATAAACATTTGCTTTACAACCCTCCTCTCCACCCCCATCATTCTGCTCGGACACTGAGGTCCAGTGCCGAGGGCCTTCTGGCGGTTCCCTCACTGTGAGAAACAAAGCTACAGGGAACCAGGCAGAGGGCCTTCTCGGTAGTGGCACCTGCCCTGTGGAACGCCCTCCCATCAGATGTCAAAGAGATAAACAACTACCTGACATTTAGAAGACATCTGAAGGCAGCCCTGTTCAGGGAAGTTTTTAGTGTGTGACATTTTGATGTATTTTTAATCTTTGTTGGAAGCTGCCCAGAGTGGCTGGGGAACCGCAGCCAGATGGGCAGGGTACAAATAAATTATTTTTATTTTTATTTGGTAGATTTATAGTCCTTTTATTTCAGCATTATGCAAGGATATCTTACTCCTCTTTATTTCTGCAGCAAGAAGCACACCTATGGGAAGTCCCTACTCCCCGTGTATCCTTCACTCTCTGACACGCTTGGACCTCTGAGTTTGGGGGGAGGGAAGGGATTCCCCCACTCTTGATTGATGTGTCGCCCGACTGTTCCCTCCCTTCTGGTTGCTTAGCTACTGTATCAAAGCTGGGCGGCTCCTCTCTCAACTGTGCAGCTTCTGTGTTTGCCTTCTCTCTGCTTCTGGAAACGCTGGGCTTGGGGGGGGGGCAAGTGAATATTTTCCCTCCTCTTCTGTTGGGAGCTGATCTCCCTGCGATTGCATTCCCCAGTCTTCCGATCCAAACCAACCAGCTGACAGGTGACAGCTGACAGACACAGTGTCCAGACCCTCCATCTCTCACAACCCGGTGAGCCTTGAAAGTAGGAGAGCAAAGAGCTCAAAGACAGAGGGCACTTCTCAGCACCCATAGAGGAGGTGATGAGGATGACGAATGAGGAAGTGGGAGAGACAGGGAGGTGGAGATTCATTCGGGACAATGCCGTTATCCAAGAGGCTGGGATCTATAGCCTCTCTCTATAAATACTGAATAAAAAGCGGATGATAAGAACATTCCTTGTCTTTGTACATTCCTTGGCAACCAGCCATGGGAGTTGCTGGCAGCAGCTTGACACCGCTTTATCATTTTGGTGGCCTTTTTCTGAACCTTTTCCAACTCTACAATATCATGTTTGAGGTGAGGAGACCAGAACTCTACACACTACTCCACATGTGGTCACACCATCGGTTTTTATAATGCCATCATGATATTGGCAGTTTTATTTTCAATTCCTTTGCTGATGATCCTTAGCATCGAATTTGCCTTTTTCAGGGCTGCGGCACATGGGGTCAACACCTTCCTCAAGCTTTCTACAGGATGCTGAACTAGATGTACCTTTGGAATGGTCCAGCAAGTTCTTCTTATGTTCTTATGCTCTCATTTATTCCTGCCCATCTATGTGGATTAATAGAGCTGGTACAGAGATTTTATAACTTTTGTTGTTGTTGTTTAGTTGTTTAGTCATGTCTGACTCTTCGTGGCCCCATGGACCAGAGCACGCCAGGCACTCCTGTCTTCCACTGCCTCCCGCAGTTTGGTCAAACTCATGCTGGTAGCTTCAAGAACACTGTCCAACCATCTCGTCCTCTGTCGTCCCCTTCTCCTTGTGCCCTCCATCTTTCCCAACATCAGGGTCTTTTCCAGGGAGTCTTCTCTTCTCATGAGGTGGCCAAAGTACTGGAGCTTCAGCTTCACGATCTGTCCTTCCAGTGAGCACTCAGGGCTGATTTCCTTCAGAATGGATAGGTTTGATCTTCTTGCAGTCCATGGGACTCTCAAGAGTCTCCTCCAGCACCATAATTCAAAAGCATCAATTCTTCAGCGATCAGCCTTCTTTATGGTCCAGCTCTCACTTCCATACATCACTACTGGGAAAACCATAGCTTTAACTATGCGGACCTTTGTTGGCAAGGTTTTATAACTTTTAGGCTCATTCAACTCTAGACTTCTGTACATGACATATGAAAATTTATCTTTCTCAGGAGCTGAGAAATTAATGGCATGGCAGCTCCCTTTCAAAGCATGATGTTTTCTGTAATGTAACAACCCATACTTTTTCTCCATAGATTTCAATATTATATTCTCAGTTAGAAATGTTTTATTGATTTGTAGCTACTAGCAAATTTCATTCCAGCTATTCCAGCTGTGGGGTGAATCAATGGCAATTCACTTTTCTTTATTTATAAGTGGCCAAAGGGACCTGGCATCAAATTTTAAGAAGAACAGAGCACCACTTTTAGCCCATCTTGTAATTTCAACGTTTAGTTCAATGTAACAAGCAAGCAGGTAACGCCGGCTGGGATAAATCTGTCATTAGTATGTTCATTTTAAAGAGAAAAGAAAAGGAATGAGATGGTTGAAGGTTTTAATAGAGAACAAGTGTGCTCTCTTAGTTTAAGACACAGGGGGCAACATCTCTCCGCCACGGAAATCAATAATGGCTTCGCCATAATCATTGGTCTTAAAATGTCCATTGACTTTAGTGAATTCAAACTTTCACTGAGACCCTGAAATTAATTCTGGCCTTGCATCAAATCATCAAGCTGGGGGGGAGAAAGAAAGAAAGAAAGAAAGAAAGAAAGAAAGAAAGAAAGAAAGAAAGAAAGAAAGAAAGAAAGAAAGAAAGATCTACCCATTTCAGGACTTGTGTGGCTGCCAGGGCAAGCATCAGAGGTTGACATTGTTCCATACAGGTTGAGACTTACCCATATCCAGCAAGGGTCCACTGCTGACCCCAAGAACCTCTCTGTCCTGCTCATCCTCATACTTGCCATTTTAATGGAAGTCAGGGGGTGGGTAAATAATCCCCCCCTTCATTCCAATTTGAGTAGGCCAGTCATGCCAGACCCAATCAAAGAGGTTGCCACCAAACTCATTAAATAATAATATAATAATAATAAATTTTATTTATATCCCGCCCTCCCCAGCCAAAGCCAGGCTCAGGGCGGCTAACAACAAACAAATAATCAAACAATCAAATAATCCAACATTCTAAAACATTTCATTATAAAAATTAATTAAAATCAAATGCATGGCAACTGTTAAGCAAAGTTCTGTGCAGATTGCCAGAGGAGGGAGTCAGGCTGGGCCCTGACCAAAGGCCTGGTGGAACAACTCTGTCTTGCAGGCCTTGCGGAAAGATGTCAGGTCCCGCAGGGCCCTAGTCTCTTGTGACAGAGCGTTCCACCAGATTGGAGCTGCAGCCGAGAAAGCCCTGGCTCTAGTTGAGGCCAGCCTAACCTCTCTGAGGCCTGGGACCTTCAGGATGTTTTTATTTGCAGACCGTAGGTTCCTCTGTGGGGCATACCAGGAGAGGCGGTCCCGTAGGTACGAGGGTCCTAGGCCGTATAGGGCTTTAAAGGTTAAAACCAGCACCTTAAACCTGATCCTGTACTCCACCGGGAGCCAGTGCAGCTGGTATAGTACCGGATGAATGTGATCTCGCAGCGAAGACCCCATAAGGAGTCTCGCCGTGGCATTCTGCACCCGCTGGAGTTTCTGGGTCAGTCTCAAGGGCAGCCCCACGTAGAGCGAGTTACAATAATCCAGTCTGGAGGTGACCGTCGCGTGGATCACAGTGGCTAGGTCAGGGCGAGAGAGATAAGGGGCCAACTGCTTAGCTTGGCGGAGATGAAAAAATGCCGCCTTTGTTATAGCTGTAATCTGCGCCTCCATAGAGAGGGAGGTATCGAAGATTACACCCAAACTCTTAATGGACGGTGTTGGCACTAATTGCACCCCCGCAAGAGATGGGAGTTGCCCCCCCTTTAAAGGGTAAAGGTAAAGGGGAACCCTGTCCATTAGGTCCAGTCGTGACCAACTCTGGGGTTGCAGTGCTCATCTCCAGTGGTGTAGCGTGGGGGGTGCAGGGGGGGCCGGCCGCACCGGGCGCAACATCTGGGGGTTAGGGTTAGGGGGCGCAAATCCACGGGTTAGGGGGCGCAAATTACTTGCCTTGCCCCGGGTGCTGACAACCCACGCTACGCCACTGCTCATCTCGCTTTATTGGCCGAGGGAGCCACCGTACAGCTTCCGGGTCATGTGGCCAGCATGACTAAGCCACTTCTGGCGAACCAGAGCAGCGCACAGAAACGCCGTTTACCTTCCTGCCGGAGCGGTACCTATTTATCTACTTGCACTTTGACGTGCTTTCAAACTGCTAGGTGGGCAGGAGCAGGGACCGAGCAACGGGACCTCACCCCATCGCGGGGATTCGAACCGCCGACCTTCTGATCAGCAAGCCCTAGGCTCTGTGGTTTAACCCACAGCGCCACCCGCGTCCCTCACCAAACCCATTATGCACCCTCTAATACCAGATGGGAGTGCTTTCTCAGGGATCCAAGGTATGCAGGCCCAAAGTTGTTTGGGGCTTTAAAGGTCAGCACCAACACTTTGAATTGTGCCTGGAAACATCCTGGAAGCCAATGTAGGTCTTTCAGGACTGGTGTTATATGGTCCCAGTGGCCGCTCCCTGTCACCAGTCTGGCAGCTGCATTCTGGATTAGTTGTAGTTTCCGGGTCACCTTCAAAGGTAGCCCCACGTATAGCACTTTGCAGTGGTCCAAGCAGGAGATAACCATACCATGTATCACTCTGGTGAGACAGTGCGCAGGCAGACAGCCACTTCCAGAAATGTAGTGGAATATAGCACTCATTTCTGTGTTAGTTGGAAGTAGAATTCTTTTATGGAAGCAAACACCATGGAAATGAGTGCTAAACCTGTGCTATATTCTGCTATTTTCCCAGAAGCAGCATTTCCACAAACCTTTGGGTTCCTCCTAGCCTGCTGACACCTTCCTCATTTTGGCCGCATAAAGATCTCCACTTACCCCTGAACTTGCAAACAGAAGGATAGATGAAAGGAGATAGGCATTTTCTTTTCCATCCATTTGTGATGATTAAATCTATGTGGAAATATCACAGCTGTTTGGCAAGATGAACAATGATGGATGGGTACCGTATCACTGGACCCCATGCAAAGCTTGCCTGAGATTAGTTAACTCAGAGTCTTGCTCTGCATTTCATTCAAAGGCCACCCGTCGGTGAAATATTGCACCAGGTGGTTATCTTAACCGAGAAGACTATGGTTTCCTGAGATCATTTGCTTTGGAGTACCCCCATTGCTTCAGGATTACATCTTATATTTACCTCTAGGCATGTTATCAGCAGGGGGGCTTCAAGAAAATCAAACCAGTTTGCAGCTGTAACTCCAGCAAAATATGCACATTCTTGAGAAATTGTCTTTCTGTGTTTGAAGATTTTTCACAGAGGGGGCTTCTCATGAATTTCACTCTGCAGGGTATCTCAATCACAGACCCTCCAAGTGCCCCCTTTCTCCAGGGACAGTTCTGGATTTACAGAAGTTGTCCTGGCCTCTGATTTGTCCTGCTTTCCCCTAGGATGTCCCTATTTTCATCTAAGAAATGTTGGAAGGTATCAAGTTATCTTACACCGGAGCCATCTGAAGGCATCCCTGTATCGGGAAGGGTTTTTTTAATGTTTAATGTTTTAATATTATTTTTATATGTTGGAAGGAGCCAAGAGTGGTTGGAGCAAGCCAGTCAGATAGATGGGGTATGAATAGAAAATAATAATAATAATAATCATAATAATCATAATAATCATAATAATTGAATAGGATGTCTCTATTTTCATCAGAGAAATGTTGGAGGATATGTAATCATGAATAGTGAATTTTTGGGGAGCAACAAGTAAATTGGGAGGTAAAGGTAAAGGTAAAGGTAAAGGACCCCTGACAGTTAAGTCCAGTCATGAACGACTCTGGGGTTGCGGCGCTAATCTCGCTTTACTGGCCGAGGGAGCCGACGTTTGTCTGCAGATAGTTCTTCTGGGTCATGTGGCCAGCATGACTAAGCCGCTTCTGGTGAACAAGAGCAGCGCACAGAAACGCCGTTTACCTTCCCGCCGGAGTGGTTGGGAGGTAGAAGGCCTCAATTCCAACCTTCAATTCAATATATTTCAGTGCAAGTCTGTCCATGTTTACTTGGAAGTAAATTTCATTGTGATCAGTGGTGCTTACTCCCTAGCAAGTGTGTTAAGGATTGCAGCCTTAATTACTCCCATTAAACTGAATGGGGCTTCAAAGTTTTTGAATGTGGCTGGAGCACATGAAAGTATCAATAACAGCAGCAATAGTAGTGGTATTCCTGCATCATCAACATGTGGAATGAACTTCTGAAGTAGTCAGGATTCTCCCTCATTAGACACATGCACTATATGTGCATGTGTTGCCTTGTGCACACAGCCACTTCCCAAATGAAAAGCCAACGGCAGCAGGCATAGAGGCAAGCAGGCGTGGCAGTGGTTGGGCTATCTGATTGTTGGGAGTCCAGGTTCCTGGCTTGATAACACAGTAAACGTACGTAATTAAAAAGGAGGATTTATTACAAAACCAAGCAATTAGCTCCAGACGGCTCTAGCCAAGCCTCTGGCATCATCATTCAGTTGACCCTTCTAAAGAATCCTTCCATTTCTGGCAGAATAAACTGATCCTATGACCCTTGCGCTTCTTATTTTGTTTCCTGTCAAACACCCTCCCCCGGCTACAACTTCGTGGGTTCATTGGATCCCCTCCAACTTCTCCCTGAGAAGACAGGCTGTCAATCTTCTCTTTTGTGCCTGTCCATGCCTCTTGTGAGTTGCGGTTGCATTCCAGCACAGTTTCCACTCCAACCTTATCTGGCTGCCTCTCAAGGTCAAGAGGAAGGCGGGTCCGCATCTGCCTTCTGTCCTCCGTCTGAGAGA